GGAGGGGAAGGGCATAAAGCAGCTTAGATAAGGGAAAGACAAAACGGTGTTCTGTACCACCGGCTGGTTCTACTTTGCATGCCGTATAAAGGGAAGCCACTCTTCTTTAGGTATCAGAGATCTTTAAAATACGCAAGCCAGATGCCATAATTTAAAAATTATAAAATATACCGCCAAAACCTTAGAGGTCCATCAGCTCTCTTCCACAAAACGCCACAACAAACAAACAAACGGATCCTCCCTCATCCCTAGGCTAAGATAACTGTTCTGTGACACAAATCACTATGCTCATCACATGTCCATTACACACCACTGTCACTCTCGGCAAGACAAGCTACAAACACGCACACCCGATATAAGGTGAGATATTTAAAAGCGCTCAAAGAGTGACTAAAATCCACAATTTCCAAAACCCAACCCCAGGAAACTAAAATCATGGCTGCTCTATCGTGAAGACTTTCTTGCCCCCAAGATGGCGCATGTAACCCTCCAAGGGGCACTTTCACCACCCACACCAATGACTTTTCACTACCTTTAAGCCCTGCTTGGTCTTCTGAGGGAAGAATTTACTTTTGTCGTTAAGTGGTGTTTATTCTAGGTTATCACTGAACGTCTCGCTTGAAAACTCCCACCAGCAACAAACACCACGTTCCTTTACCTGCCCAGAGGCTGAACTAGAACGCCATGAAAGACGTGCTAACTGCAAGGGCTCTGGCCACTCAGATCTGGCTCCTTTATAGAAAGTGACACTTTTCTTTTTAAAAAAAAAAAAAAAAAAGAGAGAAAAATTACAGCACCAGAGAAACAATACCTGCCGAGAATGAACTTTATTTGCTGCAATCCTGTTTCTGCATGTATCCAGGCCCTAATCTGGACAAATGACCAGGGACTTTCAAAGAACTGAATGCCAAACACAGAAATCACTGTAATATTAAAAATACAACAGCCTGCAGTTCCTCTCCCAGACATGGCCAGGGGCAAACAAAGCAGCACAGGATGGGACTGAGAGACATGGGGTGGGCCCCGGGCAGCCCACAGGGGCCCCAGAACGCCCCATAGGGCCCTTCTGGGAACCCAGACAAACAGATGGGTAACCAGGCTCCGAGCCAGATTCAGCTGCCCAGATTCAGTAAAAAGCAATGAGTGTATTAATTCTCAAAAGGCGAATCTGACTTACGGGAACCGCCTGTGCAGGCCAGATCATCCTCCTCCACAAGCTACACAGACTAAGAAGCAGAGGGTGACCCCAGGCTGTCGAGCAGGGGCGACGGAAAGCGCCCTAGGCCGGCAGTAGCTCTTCTCGCCCCCAGGCAAGATGTCGCCTGCATTGCTGGGTGACTGTTCTAAGTTTATCTTCCCTGCTGGGCTTTCACTTCACCAAGACAGGGGCCCTGACCGCGCTTGCAGGCACGAGGAAGGCTGGTGCTCAACTAAGGGGAATGAATGAACGAACGCAACCAACCTACTTACTTCTCTTCCTCCTGATACCGAGAAGCTAACAGAGAATCACCTGAATCACCTTCCAGGAGATATGTGACTACACCAGCAAAACCATCCTGTTTCTCCATTATTTTCTACATTCTGTCTTCTGTGTTAGGACAGTTAAAGAAGCAAAGACTAAGGTCCCTGGTCTCTTACAAAGTAGAGCTGGGCAGCCAGCTGATCGGGAGCTCGGTCTGCAAGAGCAGGCGGAGGTCGGCGCTGGGGTAACACACCAGGTCTGGATGCTTCTTTGATCGATAAGCTAATGGTTACACAGAAGTCACATGCTTTTTAAAAAATTTTACTACCACACGCGAAGATATAAAAAGTACACAAATAAAAGTAAGCGCTAGGGCACAGAGAAAGCCCTGAAGTCAAAAAAGAAATCCAGATAAACCGGGTCTGTGAGTGGGCAGTGAACCTGTGCAGTGAAAGTGTACCCTGCCCCCAGCCTGCCCCGGGTATGTGGGCAGGACCCAGATGCTATGTTTTAATGACAAAATGGTTAAGGCTCTAGGCTCCTGGCTCCCAAGACTGGGGTCCAATCCACGCAAGTACCTTTGGTCAAAAGTACGCGACTCTTCTGAGCCCTGAGTTCTTTAGCTATAAACCTTCCAAGTTTTTTTTTTTTTTTTTTTTTCTTTTCTTCCTTTGAAGATTAAAATGGATGGTTATTGCTAATGATTTCCAAGTACTGAGTATATTCCCCATTCGGTTAACCACTACTTTCACCACTAACAATTCAAGAGTTTACGATTAACAAATAAAAATGTTTACCATCTAATTACCACATAAAATATGCAGAGTAACCGCAATTTTATTTTAGAAACTTAACCTTCATGTAAATAAAAATATTTTAAGAATAAAATCACAACAGTCACGGAAGTTGCAGTATCATGGGTGTTATTCCCTTTGCAGACTTTGTACAATCCAAATACTCGATGCGAATGTATTGTTTCTAAAATAACAACAAAATGTTCTGGAAATCTTGCAAGCCTGTGAAAACTCACACTTCGAGTGTAATATGGTTCACCAGTGGAATCACTGAGGAGCTGTCACAGCAAGGAAACACTGGTATTTTAACCAATGACTTTTGGAAAGGTCCTTCCTCATGCTCCCCTTGCCAGCTTCCAGCTTGAGGATGACAGAGAACTGCCCCCAGCACACTGGCGCCTGCCCACTGCCTCGGATACTCTGGATGCTGGGCAGGGAAGCTCCATAACTTGTCATCCCTGAGCACTACCTTAGTTCACTATGTATAAGAGGAGTCCATTCATTTATGGGAAGTTCACATTTGCAAACCTCCATCAACGTAGAAGGAAAGCAATCACTGTGGAGAAGAAACTCATCCATGCAACTAAATGCCGATCCTCTATGTCAGGGACAGGCAGACTTTCTGTAAAAGGCCACAGAGCATCTCAGGCTTTCCTGGCCAAAAGGTCCTGCTGGGACCACTCAACTCTGCGGCAACACCCAAGAGCAGCCCAGCCCACCCCTCCCGCAGCCTGTAAACAGGAAAGTCTGTTTATAGAAACAGGCTGTTGGCCAGATTTGGCCCCTGGGCCCTAGTTTGGAGACCTTTCATCTGTTAATACTCCACTTTAACCATCACCGGGGTTTCCACTATTTGGGGCAAACGGCGACCTCACCCACTGGAGCCCACCCCTCGGGAGAGCCCCACGGGCTTCCTTGCGTCATCCTTCACAGTGTCACTAACGTTCAAGGAGCTGCAGATACTGGCCCTGAACGGCTTTCAAGTGGGGTCTGCTCCCCAGCACGGGTGGGCAGGGCCCGAGGGAGGCCCACGTAAATGTGCGGTAAAGGACAAAGGGGACGCAGAGCCCTGGGGACTGGGGGCTGTTCTCAGTAGACTCCTGAGCTGGGAGAGGTGGTAAGGAATGTGACGTAGAGGGACTAAATAGGATAAATGTGCTGAAAAATAGAAAAGGCTGATAATTATCTGGGAGGCGGATAAGAGGAAAGAGATGGCAAGCTTAGAAAAGGAACTGGCTGCTAAGGAAAGTGGAAGAAAGTGCAAAGTTAAAAAATGGACACGATCTTTGAAATTTAATAAAATGGCGAGAGTGTGCAATTCCTACAATTTCCTCTGAAAGCTCTTCTGGACATTAAAAAAAGAAGCATAACCTTCCCGGTTTGGGGAAGTGCTGGGAGCACCCCGTCATTACTACTCTTCCTGGCATTAACAGTCTCCCCAGGGCAAGGCCTCCACGACCCCAGGAGCAAGGGCGGCCTCCAAGGAGACCAAGCCTGGCTGCCCCGCTCAGCCTCCAACAAGCCCCGGCACAGAGCTGGGGATGCAGAGGTAGGTGTAAACCAGATTAACCCAGAAGAGGAGGGGGCCTACGATCCCCATGACCCCCATCAGAAACAGAACCCTCTGCCGGGGGCATCCTTCTTCCGGGTCTTTGATGCTGGCCTACCCCAGACCCTCCCCGACCCCACTAGACCAGAGACCACCTTCCCCACTACAGACCCCGCCCCCCGCCTCCCTCTCATCCCCACCTGCTCTCTCCCCCGCCCTCCCTGCCATCACAGTTGTGTACGGGGCCGGAGGGCGGTGGGGTGGGGGGGGTGGGGGACACACGACCTCTGCTCCCCCAGGAGAATTTCCCGCCTGAGGGGTGGCTGTCCTGTAGGTGAGGGATCAAGAAGGAGGCAAAGACACAGTTCCCAAATGCTGGCGCTCACTCCCGGCCACCGGCCCTAAGGCGCACTTACTTCTGGCCAAGCTTGACTCTGTCTCCTTTCTGCTTACTCTCCTTCAAACCTAGCATGAACTATTGAAACCTTCTTTTTTTAAATGGGGCTGAATAGAGAATGAGCATCCACAGCGAAGCAGAAGTGATGCGTGTGTATGTCTGACACGTCCTGTGCGTAAATAACCACTTGCGAAATGCTTCATCCTGTACACAAAGAGGCCACCAATGGTACACACAGGACTGTTTTAGGGTGGATGGTCAGCGCACCCCCTGAACGCGACCCGGGGCTGAGGGTCCCCTCCTTGTAGGGAGCGCTCGGGGTCACGTCATCGGCGTGGACCAGTGACCGGTGTGAGGTGAATGGATGCTGCATGCACAGCATGAGTATTTACCGTCCTGGAAGACCCTCTCCACGTTCAGCCCGTACGTGGCGCACGTCTCGTAGTACGTGCACCTCTTGAGGTCGCTGGAGAGCTTCCGCGCCCTGGCGTCGTCGATGACCCGCGGGTTGGTGGAGCTGATGGCATCTGCAACAGACCGACAAGAAGCGGTGACATGGTGACCACGAGCGGCCTGGGGACGTCCCACCACTCACGGCCCCCAGGAGCTCAAAACCTGCCCCATGCTCAGCACTGCTGGGATTCTTTTCAGGACCTGGAGTTTTCAAAACATCGTTTATCCCCAAAATAATCATCCCAGACACCACAACGATCAGGTGTTTCAGGGGATCCTGCTTCTGAATACGAAATAAAAGAATGTCTCCGAAGACCAGAAGGAAAGGGTAAGAGTTAAATGTGGCTCCAGAGGAAGATGCTTTAACAAGGAGAGCCACACGGTCACTATGTGCGGTGACCTTCTCGGCCACGGCACCCGGGAAACGCACGCCCTCCATCTGCCCGCTGGACTCACGCTCACGGAGCCCTGTTGGGTGCCTGGTCCAGTTCTAGGCACAGGGATACCCCCCAGGGAACAAAAACCTGTGCTCTCACAGAGGGGACATTAGGTCCGCTGGGGAGGGAGGCAGAAAATAAGTAAGACAGCAACGAGGAAGGACGATGGGTGTAGGATGGGATGTAGGGTAGGAGCTGGGTCACAGGGCAGGGGTCAGAGAAGCCACACTTGTAGCAGTTGGCGGGTGGGGGAGGGTGCCTGGGGCAGGGGGCGGCAGAGCGCCTAGCGTTTAAGGGGGACCCAAGGGCGAGGCAGGAGTGGAAGGGGGCCTGGGGCACTGGAGGGGGTGTCGCAGACTAGTGTGTGAACCACGTTGGCTCTTAACAGGTGGCTCGGGTGGGGAACTTCCCTGGCGGTCCAGTGGTTAAGACTTCGCCTTCCAAGGCATAGGGTGCGGGTTCGATCCCCGGTCGGGGAGCTGAGATCCCACATGCTCTGGGGCCAAAAAAAACCAGAACATAAAATAGAAGCAATATTGTAACAAATTCAGTAAAGACTTTAAAAGTGGTCTACATCAAAAAAAAAAAAAAAAAAAAAAAAA